CGATCATGCACCAGTGGGGTCTCTCAGTCTGGCCTGCGGGATCGGGCCAAAACCAGCTCTCCGACATCCCCTGAAGGGTCCCAGATTGTGAGAGGGCGCAGCCGGGGCAAGGGACCCCCACCGGTGCACGATCGGGATTTGGGAGGGACGCGAGAGGTTGGCCAGCCAGGGAGGGACCACGGGAGGGCTCCAGGGCATGTCTGGCCCATCTTGCTCAGTCCCCATCGGCCAGACCCCAGCAGCAAGCTAACCTACCAGTTGGAGTGTCTGCCCCCTGGTGGTCAGTGCACATCATAGCGAGTGGTTGAGCGGCCTTAGCATATCATTAGCATATTACACTTTGATTGGTTGAATAGACGACAAGACACTTAGCATATTAGGCTTTTATTATATAGGATAATGCTGGAAAACTGGTCTAATAAACTATCCGTTTAGGACATCTGGTGGCTGGATATAGATTTTCTCATTTGAATGTTACAATATTAAAAAGGAAAATAGGAACTACGCTCCCCCTCTTTAGATAATTAACAAACCACTCACCCAAATTCCACCAAAAACAAACTATCTAGGCATTTAAAGGTATAAAAGAGTAAAAGAATAGTATGCTATCTTAAAAGCTAATGACAAGTTTGATTTGGTGGAGTTTTGTCTTGTGTTATATTGACTTTCGGCTTCACTGCCCATTTTAAGCATTGGTTATGGACTTGAACCCCTCTGTTTCTTCAACATATGAAAAAGATATTTCTTTTATTTATTTTTTAATTGGATTGACCTTGAGTTCTGTAGTGATGATATAGTAGTCTTGCTTATAACAACAAAGTAGTCACTGACACTTAGAATAAAATAAAATATTAAAACTGTTTTAGCTTTAAGTATAGTTCTAATTTTGCTTTACTTGGCTTAAAAGGTGAAGGGTTGAGCTATTTTTAGAGATTTAACTTATTTTTAGTAATATTTTATGACTATCTGCTGCATACCCAAAATAAATCTAGAAGAACAAATATTTTGTATAAGACCGATAACATTGATTATCTTTATTGATTTTTATAGAGCAAGATGCTTGCTTCACTCTTTATTGTGTTTAATTCTGAGATTTTGCTCATCATCACAGTCATGATACCATTTTATAAATTCCTCTTGCTGCCTTTTATAGTCACCCCTTCACGTGTTCTCAACCTCTGGCCCCCACTTGGCTATTTTCTGTCTTTCGTTTCCTTGCCTTTGTGTTAATAGTCAAGTACATATGTTTTCAAAATGATCGACTAGTAATGTAATTTTCAATTTAATTTTTCCTTTTTCTAGGTAAAATTAAATATTCAGAAAGAGTCTATGAAGCTTGTATGGAAGCTTTTGATAGCCTGCCTCTTGCTGCACTTCTAAACCAACAATTTCTTTGTGTTCATGGTGGACTTTCACCAGAAATCCACACACTGGATGATATTAGGAGAGTAAGTACATAATTTAATTCCAAGGTTGACTCCTATCTTTAGTACTTTGTTGGGTAGAAAGTAGATGCTTCAAACTTCTCTTTACTGCTAATATTAGGTATGGTAAAAATTAGTATACTGATATTTTAAGGAAATACCTTCTAACCATTCAAAACAATGTGGTATGGACAGTATTCAAAGTTGGTATCACTTTCCTATGTCTATTCTATTCTCATTTTTTGACAAGTTATTTCTGTTTGTTTCTTTCTTTTCTTTCTTTCACAGTTAGATAGATTCAAAGAGCCACCTGCATTTGGACCAATGTGTGACTTGTTATGGTCTGATCCTTCTGAAGATTTTGGAAATGAAAAATCACAGGAACATTTTAGTCACAATACAGTTCGAGGATGTTCTTATTTTTATAAGTAAGGAAAAATATCCAAGCTTAATCACATTTTAGTTGTTAAAATAGAATATGCTTCACATAGAAAACCATTATTTTACTTAATTTACTCTTTTCCCCCCACAGCTATCCAGCAGTATGTGAATTTTTGCAAAACAATAATTTGTTATCGATTATTAGAGCTCATGAAGCTCAAGATGCAGGGTAAGAATTCTGTTTCCCTGACCCAAATTAACACCTTATGTACAAATCAAACTTAGTAACAATGATTGATGCTTTACGATGCATATTAAGCTATTTGTTTTGCAGCTATAGAATGTACAGAAAAAGTCAAACTACAGGGTTCCCTTCATTAATAACAATTTTTTCGGCACCTAATTACTTAGATGTCTACAATAATAAAGGTAAGATGTTGTTGATAAAAAAAATTGTTAAACAACTTAGCATTTTAATTGACTTATTTTTTTAAAAAATATAATAGAAAGCGGGCATTGTTTGAATCTATAACTACCCAAATCTCCTTATAAAAAGGTGTAAGATATAAGGGAGGGGTGAGATCAAGAAATAAAAATCCAAAATGTAAAACTTAAGTCATATGTAACCATTCCACAACTTGTTACTTACAAAAGCTGTCTTGTAAAAGAATGCTGAGTTAAGTACGTCAAGCAAAACCAAATATGATTTTTCTCAAACTTCCCTTTCTTAAATCTTTCCCCTTATAATCAAGAGAATGTTTTCTTGTTTACATAAAGCTACTGCTGCTGCTTTGACCATTTCGTGTATTTATATTGTATAGTTGTTTAGTTTATCATGTTTCTTGTTTTATGTTCACTGATCTAGGTTCTCTTTCCCTTTCTTATTTCCTGCTTTTACCTCCACAGTCTTATCACTGCCCCATGAAGATTTGTAATTGAGCTTTCTTTGATTCATTTGCTCTGACCTCCTTTCAGTGATACATTCTTCCCTTTCTTTTCTTTTTACTGTTTTGTCTTCCTTTTTCTTAAATTTTTTTTTTTACCTTCTGTTCCATTGGTTTCCATTCCCCCTCCTTCCCTTCAGATTTGAGCTGTGCATAATAGTAATTGGGTTTCACTTAACTTTGAACATAGCTATTTAACAGATGATATCAAAAGATTTTAATCTAGTTAAGTGTGTGCCAAGGTCATTGAAGATGAGCTTGAGTATGTTTACGTAGTTCACATTTTCAGAAGAGGATATTAAGTCAGCTCCTATTCTCTCTTGATGTGTCTGGAATTCAGTGTACTATGCCATAGTTTCAAGGATCAGACTGGAGTGGATGTGCCAAGAAGAAAGAACAGACTATAAAAGTACATTTAGAGAGATAATGAGGTCATTGTTAAATATGGGTCCTAGTGTGAGTTCAGACGAGGAGCAGAGTGAGAAAGAGTTCTTTGGATGATTGGAGGTGATGGTTAAAAGATTAAAACATGTGCCAGAGGTGGTCAAACTGTAGAATGCTATATAATAACTTTGATACAGAATGTGCTGCAGGAACTTAATACTATGTTAATTACCAAATCAACCAAACTATTGATGCTAATTGAGTTGCTCATCTTTAGAAGCTGGTATCAATGCAGCCTCTAACAATTATGCCAGTGCTAAAATATTTAAAATTGTATTTTGGTTTGTAAATTTTTAGACTTTTGTAAAAATACCTTATGAGGTATGTCTTCATTTTTTAGGAGAAACCAACCTTAAGTTTTGATTACATTCTCAAGAACAGAATCAAATGCTACATTTAACTTTCTACTAGTGCCCTCATTTCTTAATTGTGACTTCCTCTTGTCAGTATTAACGAAGCTAGTGTTCAGTGCTCGTTTGACTACTACCTTACAGTTGTCCTTTGCCAGTTTGACTCAGGAGGTTAAGGGATCACTTTTCTTAGTACTCAGAAAAGAAACACAAACCATTGAATCTGTCTTGTCAAAATCAAATGTCTCTTGGTAGTTCTGAGTCTGTACATAGTGTTAATGATTTGAGTGCTTATGTGGTATGCGTATGTTTGTAATGTTTCATTCTCTATGTAAGACAATTTTCTAGATTCTCCTTTTTTTTAAGCTGAAAGGTTGGTATCAGCTTTTAATTTCTGAGGCTAAATTTAAAATACTTTTATTTCATGGGAATTTCATAAAAGAAACAAACATGTTAGTTGTGATTCTATATTAGCCAGAATCTCAAATCTTGGAATTTAACATCTGCATTTCAGTGCTTTTTATTCAAATGAAAAAAAAGTCTCCACATAATTATAATATCTGCAAAGTATTTTATACTTTTATGTATTTTCATGCAAAATACATTATTCTCTGATCTTAAAACAAACTTCTGAGGTAGGCAGGTTGGACATACTAGTCCTTTATATAAATGAGAAATAGATTAATTAAATAATTTACCAAGCATGGTGAAGCTAGTATGTACTGTAGCTTAGATTAGAATCTAGCCCATCTAACATACATCAATTAATTTAAGATATTATTTATATTAATATATTGAAACATTAGAAAGATACCTAAAATTGAGATGAATATGTTATCTTTGAGTTATTTGGCTATAATATTCCCTCTTCTGGTACTTTAGGGGTGGGTTTTTCTAAATGAAGTAAAATATTTCTTTGTAGTAGTTTCACTTGATTTTCCATATTAATAGAAATAAATATATTTACATTTATAAATAAAATGTTTCACATTACATTTTTTTTGTTTTCTGTTTCGTTTTTCTTTATTACCATTCAGCTATCCTTTTTAGGTTGCCTACAACTAAAAAGACCCTCTTAAATTCCTGTAACTTAAATGAACTTTTAAACCTAGAAAATTGTTCATTGCCATTCTGTGTTTCCTCTATAAATTGAGTTTTCACAATTTTGGATTTAATAAAAGTGTATATTTATCATTGGATTATAAAGTAAAACAAACATTTAAAAAAGAATAGAATATTTATTAATAATAACAAAATTTGACTATGCCGTACATAAAAGGGTTAAAAAACAGAAAATGTGTTATTAAAAATTAGTGCCTACCTCCCTCTACTAGCCCTCATTCTACTCATCCCTTGATTCCTCACCCCATTAAAAAGATATTTTTCTGCTTTTATGTGTTTTAGACTTTTGGAGCTAAACACAAATTGTTACATTGACATTTATACTTATCTTGCAGCTGCTGTATTAAAGTATGAAAATAATGTGATGAATATTCGACAATTTAACTGTTCTCCACATCCTTACTGGTTGCCCAATTTTATGGATGTCTTCACATGGTCTTTACCATTTGTTGGAGAAAAAGGTATAATTTTAATTTTAAAAAATTGTTTTATTACTGTTACATTTACTCCAGTTTACTATTGCAGGCATATACTTGCTAAAGAAGCTGAAGTCTAGTTTCACTGTGGGTACAACTCTACTTGTGTCAGTGGGTGTGGATATGAAGGCCTCAAAGATATTTTAGTTAGCTGTTTACAGCCTCCATGGGAGTGTGTCTGGGGGATTGGGAGAAGACTTATAAATAGCCCAATGTTGTCTTCAGCTGTTGGGTTTTCTGTCTTTTTTTCTTTAGCTTAAATCTTTTATGAAGGTGTAGAGGGATAGCTTTGCTTTGTAAAAGACACTGTTGTATGTTTTAACAACAATTTTTGGGAATGTCACAGCAACTCATGGGAGAATTTAATAGGCCTTGTTTTGGGCAATGTTAGTCATTTTATAGCAGTTCTGTACTCTGAGAAAAATAAAGAAAAATTCAGGTTCTAACTTAATATTCCATATAAAAATATGTACGTATGCAATTTTAGTGGTGCTTCTCTAAGATATTTAGAAGAATATCTATTGGTATATACTTAATAGGCTTTTAAAGAGAATATAAATGCTATTTAAGAAATTTTGTTTCTATATTTTGTCCTTGTTCTATAGAATTCTTAAGCTTACTTTATCACATTCTCCTTTTCCAATTTTGCGTTAATTCAGGGATCCTCAAACTACGGCCCGCGGGCCACATGCAAATACAAATATTGTATTTGTTCCCGTTTTGTTTTTTTTACTTCAAAATAAGATATGTGCAGTGTGCATAGGAATTTGTTCATAGTTTTTTTTTAAACTATAGTCCGGCCCTCCAACGGTCTGAGGGACAGTGAACTGGCCCCCTGTTTAAAAAGTTTGAGGACCCCTGCGTTAATTTTTCCACAAGGCAATGCCTTAGTTTCCATATGTGGAAGAGTATGAGAGTACAGACATGATTGGAAAACATTTTGTTCTATAACCTTCTCTATTTTTTCTCACCTCTTTCATGTTACAAAATGTTTCTTTCTGTTTTAGATATGGTACTTTTGCCGGCAATTTTTGGTTCTAAAATTTAGAGTTAATACTTAAACTGTGCATGTCAAATTGGTTTTTTTGTTTTGTTTTTTTTTAGATTGCCTTCAATCTTTGTCAGTTACTTAATAGGTCAGCATTAAATTAATATAGAGATAGAATTACCCACTTTAGCATTTGAGAAGGGGGCCAGTAAAGGGCTTAGGTGCAAGGGATGGATTACACTATAACCTTCTATCTTTGGTATATGAGAAATAGTTCAATCATAGCATCATCAGGCTAAAGTAATTTAAGAATTCATCTTGCTCATTCTCCTATCTCCAAGCTAGACTGAAACTCAACTATTCCAATACTAGAGGCCCAGTGCACAGGTTGTGCACCTGGTGGGGTCCCTCGGCCTGGCCTGCAGGGATCGGGACAAAACTGGCTCTCGCAACATCCCCCAACCAAATTGATTTGGCTCTGATTAGGGACTAAGTAAACGAAGTCAGATATTGGAAAAAATTAAGTTTGTGGAGTATTTAAATTGACGGGAGCAGAAAATTTTCTGATGAATTTATTACCGTGCTTTGTGACTTCATCGGTTGCCAAAATTGAGGCATTGTTCCAGTTCTTGATCATTTAGCCCACCTCCCAAACCCAGGGGAGCCCTGAGTAAGACCCTTTTGCTACATTAATTGCCTCCCACTAGTTCTACTCCAAGTCAAAGCAATGTGCTGTGATAATTGCCTGGAGGTCAGAACGGACTGCAAGAGTCTAGGGG